GCTTGGAATATGCGGATGTTGTGTGGGATGGGTGTTGTGATGCTGATCGTGACCTTCTTGAAAGCTTGCAATTTGAGGCAGCCAGGCTCGTAACGGGGCATTGAAAGGTACTCATAGGGAAAGCCTTCTTAATGAAACAGGTTGGTCTACTAGCCAGACGTAATGCTCATAAGTTATTTATGATGTACAAAATTGTAAATAATCTGACCCCTCCGTATCTGTCAGAATTGCATCCTGATAATGTTAGTTCTAGATCAAATCGTAGTTTACGTGCCAATGATAATCTGATTGTCCCTTTCGCTAGAACCGAACGTTACAAAAAGTCATTTTACATTTCCTCTGTGAATCTTTGGAATAGTCTTTCAGCGACTATTCGTTCTAGTCGTTCAATTGCCATTTTTAAAAACAGTGTGACTCGGCTACACAAGTTCGTAGCCCCCAATCCGCTATATTATATAGGTGATCGTTTACCAGCTATTTTGCATACTCGTTTGAGATTATCTAATAGTACATTAAATTACAATTTATATTTTGGGAATGTTTCTATTGATATGAATATTAATTTATTCTTAAGTGTCCAAAAATTCATTATTGATTCAGGTCGTTTCACCCGTAGCAGCCCTTGACCACGTTGCCCAGCATGTATATGTTAATTGTGTGTTTGTCCAAAATTTGTGCTTGCTCTATGAGCTGTTTTTGTTTGTTTTTTTGTAAATATGTAATGTCAAGAGTGCCCCAGATAAGCCTTTAGTGGCTTTTGGCGAAATTGCCAATTTTTGAATTTTAATAAAATATTGTTTATATGAAATTATTATCAAGTTATCAGTGATTGTAAAAGTTGCAGATAGAAGTGTTTTGTTTTATGTTATTATCAAGTTATCAGTGATCGCAAAACCTCCAAATCCTTAATTTCAAATGTTAGAATGTTAGGGTTTGTAATCCAAGTGAGAATAATTATATACATTTTAAGACCTAACCAGGAACGACTGCGAAAAATGCAGCACAAGGTCCTCTGGTAGGAATTGAACCTACAGCCCTGCGATTCCGGTGCAGCGCTCTAACCAACTGAGCTACAGAGGCCAGCTGTTGAGCTTGAACCGTAAGTTCATGTATATTTAGGTTATCGGGTGTGCGTGTTGTGATAAGGTGGACTTCAATAATTTGGATTCTTGCACTTCACTTGGTGGAATTAATATTAGAATGTTAGGGTTTGTAATCCAAGTGAGAATATATACATTTGTATATTCTCACTTGGATTACAAACTATTCTCATTTGGATTACAAAATATATACACAAAATATATAGATGTACTATACATTTGTATATTCTCACTCAAGGATTACAAAATATTCTCACTTGGATTACAAACCCTAACATTCTAATATTAATTCCACAAGTGAAGTGCAAGAATCCAAATTATTAATTTCACATGCCCCGCCGGGGCTAAGGTTCGAGTGGAAATGCCCAACCCCCGGGATGTGCTTTACTGAAAAATGGCTGGGCGAGGGGGATGGGCACACTTGGATTTGGCTGATGCATTAAAAGTCCTGTGCTTATTCCAGACTGCTTGTCAAATATTTACTTGCTAGAAGTAGAAATTTACTCTGACCACTGGATGAAGAAGACATTAAATAAGTACTGGTCAATAAACAGAAATGTATTTTACTTCATAGTATTACAATTCTATTTTTATACTATAAAAATATAATATAAACATGCAGCATAGAATATGCAAATTCGAGGCAAAATTAATGTTGAATCGGTTTATTTATAGGATTTTATAACAAATAGCAACTATAAAAGTTTGTACCTTGTCTATTAATTTATTATTAGTTTGTACCTTCTCTATTAAGGAATTGATAACAACTTTGAAAAATATATCGTTGCACATTCGGTCACAGTCGGAAAAATGTTCATAGTATGTTGTACTGTCGCTTGCACCTAACGATGAACAGTCGCTCATAAAAACATTCGCGTGATTAGAATCTTCAATGTTTGTCAAGAACAACAACACTTAATTGTAGTCTGGTAGTAAAGTGACAAGTTCACAAAAACTATTATTACATGAAGTATATGCATAGAACCGAATATATCCATAATTGTCCAGATGATCCAAAAGAACCCCTACAATCCACAAAACATCCTTATTCGACCTAAACACACACATGCTGACATGCACACATCTCGCCAACTGCCCATGATGACCAAACACGTAATTTATACAGCGGCACGACAAATTCTCGTCACTTTCTGCTTACTGCTGTAACGAACGACGAGCTACATTTGCTTAAAATTCCAATCTTCCAAAACCAAACCGATATTATTATCATGGCCCAACGTGTTGGATTGACCAAACTAAACAACAATTTTTTTATACAATAGTCATATGCACATATTGCTAATTTTTATATTTTTTCACCTTATTCCAAATCGACTTCTAAATTTTTTCGTCTTTCTCACACATTTGCCAACCCCAATCCCTGCTGACAAGTCCATGAAGGAAAAGAAGAAAAGAAAAAGAAAAGACGAAACGCCGCATACAGGGATACTGAATTTTACACACATGATTATCTCCTCTCGCTTTATATATTTTAGGGTCCGGATCAAACTTGGATTTTCTAAGCAAAGATTGAATGCAGCATCATTCATACTCTTTTGATATTTGGTCAAATTCTGTTTGCACTTGTAGATTGCAGAGTTGGATCTAATTTCTTCTTTATCTACTTCTACTTATATTAAGGTCGTGCTGAACCTAAATAGAAGTTATTTTGAAGATTAGTGAAGTCACTTAAACTTCCAGATGAAGAGCCTCTGTTTATTCTGTCAGAAAACATTCACTAAAAATGCAGACGTTTCCCGTTGACCCGTTTTTCGTTACGGACTGTACATTGGCACTCCACATTCGAAATTTTATTGAGTGGAAATACCATAGACGGATTTTCTGGGGGGGGGTGCATTTTGCACTCCCCCTAAACGTTTTCCTGCCCACCTAGAGAAATTTGCACCCCCCCCCAAAAAAAAATTAAATGCTCATTGGGGTAAATGACAGTAGTGTGATTGAAATAAAAATTATGAACTAATAAGACTAAAAAACAAGGATTTTGAACTAAATAAGACCAAAAATCTCAAAATTTTCTGGGAGCTTCGGCCCCCTTAATACCCCCATTGCGAACTGTGCCCCCAGACCCAGCTGCAGCTTTCTCGGTGGCGCTACCCACACTGTCGCTCACCTCCCCCCTAAATTTTTGGCACCCCCCCTAAATTTTTGGCACACCTCCAGAGCAAAATCTGAAAATCCGTCTATGGGAAATACATCTACGTTGGTACATATATATTTTAAACAAATCTTCGGATACTTCCCATGAATGCCTTTGTTAACAAACTATTCATGCTACTAGATTTCAACATGTGCTTCTGCACAAAACCAGCACACACAGACACACATTTCAACTCTGCCTGAAATGTCAACAATGTATACTGCTTATACCGTAAGTATTAAATAAATGTTGAAATATAAGCATATGAATAGACTATACCTGAACTGCAGGACCAAGTTCGCCAAGATTATTAGTTAATGTTAACTGCCCTGTGCGATGGATGCTTACTCCAGTGTCATTTATATTAATCAGAGATGGCTGTATAAAAAATTGAAAGATACAGTAACATATTGAGCCAACATTATTTTTTGCAAGATAAGACATTTTACAATCTGAGATGAATTTTCAACATAATTGATAAACAATATATATATATATATATTTTAACACGGTTGGGATTTAATAATGACCTTTCGTTTTTGTTGTGACATTACATCTGTTTCTTCATCAGTATTTGCTAGCTAATAAGAAGGAAATCATGGCGATGTTAGCATAAAAATAATATATAAGAGTACACCAACATGAACAAGAACTGTATCATTAATAAATCTATCTACAGATTAAAATAGCAAGTGTGCATGTCTTTTAATACCTTTCTTATGCTGATGTTAGTGTCTTTGTGCTTTCCCTGGTTAATATATATAAGGCCAATAATTAATAATTATTACTTTTCACAGACACTTTGCAGAATATATATTTACAAGGCTTTTTGTTATTAAAACCTATTGTTATACTGATGATTCAGCATCCATTTATTAAAAAAATTATCAGAAACGTATTAATAGGTTAGCTCAAATGTGAATACTGACAAATTCTGATGTAATGTCAAGAAATATTAAAGGTTGTAAGCTGTCACTTGTAGAACATATTGGTTTGGTATGTAGTGATTCATGTACCATTCAAAGGTTTTCAGTTAACTGATTTTATAATGAATTAACTCTCTCCCCCCCCCCCTCCCCATGGAATAAAATTCCTCTCTAGTGGTCGTTATAAATCAGCAAGAATAATTTTATGGTAAATTTTCTTATATTTGCTTATATATAATTACCCATATGACTCAGCTAAAGTTGTATGTTTAATACACTGGACGAAAAATTGGATTTACTCATATTTACGCCAAGTAAATGAATAGAAAATATTATATTCAAATTTGCTGAAAAGTAAACAAGGAGAAGACCTTATTTGCTCCTCTTTATCCAAAATTATTCAAATACGGTCTTCCCCTTGTTTACTTTGCAGCAAATTTGAGTGAATATAATATTTGCTATTTATTTACCTTGCGTAAATATGAGTAAATCCAATTTTTCGTCCAGTGATACCTGTGCTCGAATGTGGCTCAAAACAGCTAGTATGTCACCAATGATTGTTATCCCCATTTCCTGTAAAATTGGTTTGGTTATCTCTGAGAGATGCTGTTCTTGTATTCTAGGAAATGTAAAATACTAAAATTAAAACAAAAATTGGAATAAAAACTCAGAAAACTTGCATATTTATTTATCGACCGTTCATTTTTTATCAGGGGGTAGGCTGGTGCAATTTAGTGTACCCTCCCTGAAACTTTGCAGTGGCCCACCCCTTCATACCCATTTTTTTCGAGTGGACGCGAGCAAAATAGCGATTTTTTCAGATGACCCCCCATGAACGGTCCCTTATGCAAATGAAACCAAAAATTTCAGCAAAAACTGTACCTGTTTTCCTTGAAAATTTGAGCATATTGGCAAGAGTTATCAACCACACCACAATTCTCAAAAAACATTTTCCAATCCATAATCTATAAACCGAAAGATCATTAATAAAAAGAGCTGTTGAAAATCTACTATTATAAAATACAATGTACTGATATAAAGAGTTTATTAATTTTATTTAGCTGAGGGGGAGGGGAGGTTCAAGAGGGATGCAAATTCCATATCAGATTATAGTATTATACTGGATCCATCCCTATCCACACATGTTCTTTCATATTTAATATATTAAATATATAAAACACATTTGAATTTAATATGTTTGCGATGTTACTCTGAGTGCATATCCACACCGGGCGAGCTTGAAAAATATGCCCGGCCACGGTGGGATTCGAACCTACGACCTTTGGAATACCAGCCCAATGCTCTTCCAACCGAGCTACGCGGTCAGGACGGTTCGAGTAAGTGATATTTCGGAACAGTATCTAGTTCCTTCAATACCAATGTGTTCTTGTAATATGAATTTTTTTTCTGTGTTGGTGTTGTGTACTCAGGTGAATAATATGTTTGCGATGTTACTCTGAGTGCATATCCACACCGGGCGAGCTTGAAAAATATGCCCGGCCACGGTGGGATTCGAACCTATGACCTTTGGAATACTAGCCCAATGCTCTTCCAACTGAGCTACGCGGTCAGGACGGTTCGAGCAAGTGATATTTCGGAACAGTATCTAGTTCCTTCAATACCAAGGTGTTCTTGTAATATGAATATTTTTTTCTGTGCTGGTGTTGTGTACTCAGGTGAATAATATGTTTGTGATGTTACTCTGAGTGCATATCCACACCGGGCGAGCTTGAAAAAATATGCCCGGCCACGGTGGGATTCGAACCTACGACCTTTGGAATACTAGCCCAATGCTCTTCCAACTGAGCTACGCGGTCAGGACGGTTCGAGTAAGTGATATTTCGAAACAGTATCTAGTTCCTTCAATACCAATGTGTTCTAGTAATATGAATTTTTTCTGTGTTGGTGTTGTGTACCGAGGTGAATTTAATATGTTTGCGATGTTACTCTGAGTGCATATCCATATTACTAGAACACATTGGTATTGAAGGAACTAGATACTGTTCTGAAATATCACTTACTCGAACCGTCCTGACCGCGTAGCTCAGTTGGAAGAGCATTGGGCTAGTATTCCAAAGGTCGTAGGTTCGAATCCCACCGTGGCCGGGCATATTTTTCAAGCTCGCCCGGTGTGGATATGCACTCAGAGTAACATCGCAAACATATTAAATTCACCTGAGTACACAACACCAACAATTGAATTGTACACTTTAATATCAAAATTTATACACATAGAATGTTTTATTAAATAATATAAGGTTGAAGGTGCAACTAGGTACACTGTGAATTCCTTTTTGGCTTTTTCATAAAAATATTTTAGATAGTTTGTTTAAATTTACTTTCACATGATGCATATATTTATAATAAAATCATAAATGCAAATATTGAAATTTCTTTAAATTAATATATGAATATTTATATAATATATTAAACTTTTTCTGCACTGTGAAATAAAAATGAATGTATTGAAAAAATTCATTAATAAATCAGGAAATTTAATAAAACAACTCACCGTATTTTATTAAATAAAGTTTCTTCAATAAAGGTTCTTCTTAAAAACCTGTTTCGTCTTTTCCATGTGTTGCCAGGTGTTGCCTCGATTTGGTTTTGTTGTGAATAACCGCTGACCATATGCATAGCAGACAAAATCCGTTCAAATTCCCCTACCCCTGGGGGCAAATTACATGCAAAATGCTTCAAATGCCTCAGGGTCATGGGCCAAAAAATTAATATAATCCCCTGCTAACCCTACCTTTCCCCGGGGTGGGGTGGGGGGTTAATATTGACTCATGCATTACTTTAAAGTATAAAAAGTGCGTTCTTTGATGCATATTTCTGACAAAAGAAACACTGGAATTGGGATATAGGAATGTTGTGGTTCTTTATTTAGTTTGTTAGGTTTATGTGTCATGAAGCACAACTGACAATGAGATATCACAATGTGATAAACTTTAAGATATTTTAGAATGTAAACCCAGCTCAAGCTCATGCATTATAATAACTAGACTAGTTGTTTTTTTCTATGTTAATTCTAATAAAGAATAAACTGCTGTCAACATGTAAATGCTCAAAAACATTTAAATTATGTCATATCGTCCTGCAATTTTTATTGGATTCATATCTGCTTATTTTTGCTGTAAATTCATTATTTCTAATATATCGTTTATGATTATGAAAACATATGTTCGTACAACAAATAATTAACGCACACTGTATATAATAATTTAAGTTCTGATCGGGTTTTAAAAACTTTTTTCGGGTCGGATTGCTTTTTTCATGTTCAGATCAGACAGGATTCAGATTGAAAACTTAGAATAAACCATCGGATTCAAAGAGGTCAATCCAATCCGATCCGCACCTCTTGTACACAACAATCGCATGCGACTATTACTATATTACTTCAACCGATAATGTGCTTTTACTTCAGAACATTTACATACAATATTTGTGGAAATTTGGGTAAGTACATTGGTTATTATTCTAGACTACGCCAAACCATGTATTTAAGGCATAAGTTGAGGGTCTGCGAAATTAAACTTGAACCAGTACGAGGGTTTTGAATTCAAGACAATTAAAAAATATAAAACTGTTTTCTCGTGAATAAATGGCAAAAATTTATTTTCATGTAATTCCACCACTGCTGCATATCTGTCAAAAATGTGTTTTTTATTAACTTGAAACTAAAAATCAATTAAATCATGTTTTTTTCAGATTGACAAACATTTTGAGAAACTTTTCAAAACCTATTTGTTGTGGGGTGTTGAATGGAAGTTAATGGTCGAATTCACCATTTACTTTTGTTGCTCTGCAAAAAGTGTGTGTGTATGAAATAAAGCACTGTCTCAATGGCACTGCACAGTGGGGATTTTTTCCTGCAGAAACGCTCACTTGTCACCAGTCTTCTAATGAGTTTTATAGCTATCGATCATAAATTTTGCACAGCGAAGACGAAACCAATATCGCATCCGTTAAAATACCGGTTTTCTTCACCTAAACATCGTTTTTCCGGCACAATACGATCGTTGGCATCTTTCCCACTGTGTCTCTTTGTTTTGGCCATGTTTTGTTGAAAAAATAGAAAATGGCAAGCATTTATTTTGTCCATGGCGCAGTCTGAAGTTGCTATTTGGCTCCGGTAAACCTTATATATTTACGAGTTTTCAAGGTATGTGGGCTTCTATTTTAAAATATAAAACGAGAGCTTTATCTAGTGTTGCTTGAAGATTAATGTGATGCATTATTCATGAGGGATTTCTTTCATGCCAGGAAATTGTACGAGCGAGTATCTTACAGTTGGTTGTACAAGAAATATGCCGAAGTTAACACACTTTGATATTGGTGCATGGGTGCGAGAGAAAAAGCAAATAAAGCAAGAAATCGTGGAGAAGAACAGCACTATAGTAAACTTGAATGAGGAGATAAGTTCACAAGAAAGCAAAATTAGAGACCTGAAGCGAAATGTACTTGTATAGCTCGACTTTTTATCTGCTTTATTTACAGTACATTTGTATGGTCATACCAATCAGTGTGAAATGCCTACAGGTATGAATACAAATATATGAATATGTCTGGTGTTATTATGCAAACAAACATTGATGAATGATGGGCTAATATCTGTTTGAATCAGAGTGCTTTCTTTGTTTCATATACTTGTTATTTCCTGTGTATGTTTTGGTCTCTGCCAGCCTGTCCAGCCACACAGTAATCCTTGTAAGTGAGTAGCCTGCCATTATTTACACTCTGGCAGCCAGGGGTGAAACTAGTGTCAATACATGTAATTGGGGGGTGCGCATATTCATATATTTGTGTTCTGCCCGACAAATTTGTATAGGTAATCACACGGGAAGTTGTACAATTAATGATTAACACTATGAGTGATATTTGAAAAATTATTATATGCATGACAAAATCGCTTTCTTTATATTTCAACTGCATTTTATCAAGAGTTTTTAATTCTTTTGTAAGCAATTTGGTATAAACAAACTTGGGAAATAATTATAAACTCAAAGGCACATAACTTAAACTAGAACACAAGATTCAAACTCAAACAACATATTTTAGACTAAGAAAATCTTTATAAATTGTATTTCAAACTTACATAGTCACGTTTCGCTGCATCCCGCCAAGATTATTTCTTAAGACTGTTTCCAGATATTTTCCGCAGGCTCTTTTTGCGATACAATGTTTCTTAAACTCATTCTTGTGCCAAAATTCAGTTAAATTTGTCCATATTTGTTAGAAATACTTATCTAAATTTCGCCGCCATATTGGATTTTGTTGTTTTGATTTTCCGCTCCCCCAGCCATCATGAAAATCATTAATTGCACTCCTGAAGAGTGCAATTAATGATGGTAATAGAACGAATAGGAGTGCTATTAATGCCATAATCATACGAATGATTACAAAATCAACCGACCGCATAGCGGGAGGTTGATTTGTTAATCACGAGTATGATTATGGCATTAATAGTACGATCGACTTAATTCATTCTATTACTTATTAATTATTTATCTTCTGTAATCAAACTGTTTAAGGGGGAAAAGCAGAAAAATACAATTTGTTGAAATTCAATATAATTATTAAATTTTTGTCATGACAATTCTTAGTGAAATAGTACAATTTTGAATTATTATTTATCATATATAATCAAATTAACATATTATTAACTTCCGGGCATTATTTCCGGTATAATCACATGACAACATTTGTTTGAATTATTCAACACACAATTGGGAAGCCATGTTTGTATGTTTATAACGTGTGAAAAATAGTGAAGTTCTTTAGTTCAATTAATCATCTGAATTGGATTGAAATATAACTCCTGGTTGTGTCTAGTTTGGTGTCTTCTGCTGGATGAACAGGTAGGTAATTTTCGTCAGAAAATATATAATTTAACAACCCTCGAAAACGAGATCGGCATTCGGCAATGCCGACCTACAGTATTAAAATGCCGACCTATCAACCTCCCATGTCGGCAATGTTTTGCCGACCTTAATTCAGCCTTTTGGTGCTTACAGCTGTTAAAAAGTCAGCGATTATAGAATTCGATGCACTTTGGTGTAAGGTTTAAGAATTAACGGGTATATTTATGATATAATTTAGGTAAAACTCTAAAAGAAAAGGCTTCGTGACATTTATACTTTTCAATGATTCGTAAATACGTGATTACTAGTGCAGGCTACTAGTGCTCCAAGACATGGAAACAGATTTTAAAAAATGCCGAGATGTGCCGAGCTAGGTCAGATTTAGGCCGGCATTTTTTTTCCAACCTCAATTTTGACGGTTTTCGAGGGCTGATTTAAAAATTAAAAGGTCAAAATTTGTGAATTCCTCCATTTTGAAATTTTTTACAGCATAAAGAAAATAAAATTCAAAGTTTGTATCCTGAATGCTGATTGGCTAGTTGTAAATACTAGACTGATTTTCATTGGCTGTAGACAAGAGTGCGATTACAGCTCAGAAAAGGTGCGATTAATGCTCAAATCGCACTCCTGTAAACCAATGAAATTGCAGTATTTGCCACTGATTACAGAAGATAAATAATTAATGAAATAATCGCACTCCTCTTAACCAATCAGATTGCAGTAATTTTGTCATGTATATAATAAATTGTGAAATCGATTGTTTTTATGGTCTGTGAACACAAATATATGAATATGCACCCCACCCCCAATTATTGACACTAGTTTCGCCCCTGCTGGCAACTAAGTGAATTGCATGCATTGTGTACATTTTTTGGCTGTCAAAATATTTTGAAAGCCACCAGAAAGTTTGATTATTATTGTGAGATATACAGTGTATTGCTAAATCATAATATACCGACAATACAAATCAGACTGGCATTAAGCTTGCCTGCCTGGAAAATGTGAACAATACATCACCTGGCAAGTTATCTATTACATATATATGTAATAGATAAAGCATGAGCAGCTGATCTGTATTTGATTTACAAACGCGATATACAGATCGCATATACAAATGCTTTATTATTCTTGTCAAATGTCTGGATGAAAGTTTTCGTATACTTCCATAAATCTCAAAGAAATGAATGATATTTGGTGAGAAGATCGAACTTAAAGTTTATGTAAATCAGGACAAAATCTGTATCCGATTTACAGATATTGATTAAACATGTATTTATTTTGTATTTTCTTCATGAATTATTGAGTTTCACAAATATATTTTTAAAAACTCATTAATAATTCATGAAGAAAACACAAAAGAAATCATGGGTATTAAGGAGTCTGTACATGTGATACAGATTCATGTTAATTTACATAAACTTTAACTTTGATTTTCTCGGCTTAGACAACGTTTATTTTTATAATTACTTCGCCAATGAACTCGTAAGATGGGTCGTTTTTTTAAGATATTTACAACATGAGCGTCTGTGTTGTATCGGATATACAAACTCTCGCCTTTGGCTTGAGTTTGTATATCTGATACAACACGGACAGATGCTCATGTTGTAAATAGTACATATACAAATACAGTATATATGCTGGTGAGTCCGTCAGGATACTAAACTAGCACTGCTATTTAGCTGAGATCTAGTTATTAGGGAAGCATTATAGTGCTTCGCCTGTTGAAAAGTTTAGCGAGCCGGTGAACCGAGAACAATTTCATGTTTGCATTTCATGAGATTTGTCTTTGTAAAGCAAACTGGCTAAAGTACCTATAGAAATGTAGATACTTAGGAATAATTGAGCCAGGAATAATGTGAGGGGCCGGTGAAAAAACTAATTGCACATTTTTTAGAGGGAGTTGCTATTACAAGAAAAGGTTATCCTGCCTCGCAAGTCACACGCTCAAAATCCATCCTTATGCACTTCATCATCTAGTGAGAAGCTTGATCTTCCAGATAGTGTGGTTCGCAAAAGAAGGAAGCTAATGCTTGGCAATGCGAAGGCTGTAAATTCCACATCTGCCGACAGTGATATGTCTCAAAGAAAGCATGCACTAAATGGGTTATGGAACACTTTAATAACTGCTGCTAATGCTCAGGAAATGATGTCTTTCATGAAAAAGTCCCCGACAATAATGGAAAAGATCACTCAAAGTATTCTTAATTCTGCTGTTCAACAGTATGAACATAGCGAAAAAATATGATTTGGTCAGTGGGTGTGCTGCATGAAGGAGGAATATCAAGTAAGAAACAGTTTGACCGAAAGAGAAGCAGAGAAATATTTGAAATGGATGATAATTGGAAAAGCACCAGATAACATACATGCCTACATGCAAAGCTCCAAAACTTGTCGATTACAAAAGAGTTATGAAGTTTGTCAATTCAGTCGCTATTGGGGAATTGAAGGAAATCCTGAGAGCAAGAAAGTCTAAATTTGACAAGGGAAAGTATCAGCAAACTGAAGATGGTGAAACAGGTGACTTACACCCACCTGTGGCAGGGTGTTACAGAGACTTAGAGTCCTTTCTAATTAAGTTAGCAGGCTTGTATCTAGTTATTGATAGCAAATGACCAGGGTTTTTGACTTGGTTTGGTCTTGAAAAGGGCTCTTTTCTGGTGACATTAGGTGCAGATGGGGCCCCTTTTTGTAAACACAATGAAGCTACCTCCTGGCTTGTATCTTTCCTTAATGTTGGAGAAAGAGTAGCAAGTTGTGATGAACATCATTTAATCTTCGGTGCGAATTGCCCTGAAAAACACCCATCAGTTATAGAATATGGCAAGCAGTTAAGGAAACATATCAAAAGGATTGAAAAAAGCTCATATGAAATTGAGAACCAGAGGGTCACATTTGCACTTGAATTGCTGCCAGCTGACATGAAATGGTTAGCATTTATATCAGGGGAGCTGCCCAATTCCGCTAAATATTTTTCGTCATTTGCAGATGTATCAGCAGATAATATTCAGGTTATGGGTTCTACTTGTGGTGGGCCAGGTGATTATTTCAAACCTTGGAATTACAACAACCAAGTGAAGTTGCTCAAAAGGTTGAAGCATTTAAACGTAAGCTAACACCAAAGCAATTATCAGCTCGGACCAAGGTTACTACCGAGTTCATTTCTAGTCAATAATCCTGGCAAGAATTTGAGCCCTTCTTATGCCCTTTTGTAGACAAAGCTCTAGCTGAACCTCTGCATTTGGCCAATAATAATTGGCAATTTTTGTTCACTGAATTATTTACCTTTGTCCTGCATTCAAAAACAAAGATACCAAGTAGTGCTGTATATGTCTCAGATTTACCAGACAACTGCATGTTAAGGAAATTCCTCTTATGTTTGAAAAAGGATGTCAAAGCTAACAGGCTATATAATTCCATATTAAGGTGGTTTCGTGAGGGCCGTAAGAGTGGTTCCCTTTTAAGATCAGATTTACCGGGAAGGAAACCAGATTAATGTGTAATGGGTTCTGCAAACTGGTAAAATGCATTCTTGAGAATGCCTCAAATGCAAATCCAGTGCCAGGTGATTCAGACAAGGGAAATCTCATAGTTTATGTCCTAGCATTTTTGGCAATAAATTGAAGGGATGCTGTAGCCATATTTTCACGCATTACAAACACGAATAAGGATCTCTTAACTGAGCTTGAAATATGTTGCACAAACTATTTTAATGCAGCATCGTTATTCCTGAGGGTGACAGTAAGTGTTTGGACTTTAGGGTACATTGTCCCAGTTCACACTAAGCAGGTTTTTGGGAAGTATGGTGTGAGCTTAGGAATAAACACAATGCAAGGTTGTGAAGCAAAACACCAACGACTGGCACAGCATGCTACGAATACCACATTTAAGAATAGGTGGCACCAAATTTTTCGTCACGAGTATATGTGCTTAATATGGCTTAGGCAACAAAATCCTTATCGAGATGATTATTGTAAGACAAACTTTAAACATGTACCTATTCAATGTAGTACTGATAATTTTTGTCATTGTGGTTTGCCAAAAAGCAGCATGTCAGCAAAATGTAATATTTGCATAACTGTTATTATGAAAGATATAAGTTTGAGTGTTAAAAGTAGAAAAGTTTGTGCAAGTTTGAAGTTATCAAACAAGAGATAAGTATTGACCCTTGTAATTGTTATAATATTCAACAATAGTGAGTTTTGGATTCATTATAAATTTGAAAGTTGAATTATTTGTTTATCGAATAAGTTATTTAAAACTTTTTACTGTATTTAATACACTGTTAAATAAAGATTTTTTAAGCAACTGTGTGTTTTGTTATTACTACAGTTTCTACAAACAATTCTTCAAATGCAACCACTTCCTTGCCCTGGCAACCTCACAAAAAGGATAAAATACAATTTGCTCATGATACAATTGATTAAGAATCATGCAGGTTCCTGGGCAAAGATGGTTTTTGTTGGTTTAATGGTACATATCCAGCCATTTCCCCTGAGTGAATTATTTTGTGCAGACCTCGACAAATTACTTTACTCCAGCAAGCACTTACTTAGGTAATTTTTTTTAAATGTAAGCTATGTTAAATTAATGATCACTAACTGTATATGTGACTAAAAACAGTTATGTGGCATGTAAATAACCTGGCAATGCAGACTAGGCTAGGTATCTGTTACCACTACACACCAAATATACACCAGCAAATGAGATGACGCCTAGCTATCAGTGGCGGAAATCTTGGGGGGGGGGGTGAGGGGGCGGCTTCCCCACCTTCACAGAAAATTGATGAATTTTCGTAAATTTTGACCTAACAGAGGGCTAAAAACAGTCTTTGAGTGC